AAATAAGCGTAATGGATGATGATAACGATGACGATGATAACTACATCAACAGCGTTAATAATGATGCAACATTGTTGACGATGTTGACAACGTTGAGAATATTGATGTTGATGATGATGGGGATGATGAGGATGTTGTTGTTGATGATGAGGATGTTGTTGCTGCTGCTGCTGATGATGTTGTTATTGGTGATAATGATGATGTTGTTATTGGTGATAATGATGATGTTGTTATTGGTGATAATGATGATGTTGTTATTGGTGATAATGATGATGTTGTTATTGGTGATAATGATGATGTTGTTATTGGTGATAATGATGATGTTGTTATTGGTGATAATGATGATGTTGTTATTGGTGATAATGATGATGTTGTTATTGGTGATAATGATGATGTTGTTATTGGTGATAATGATGATGTTGTTATTGGTGATAATGATGATGTTGTTATTGGTGATAATGATGATGTTGTTATTGGTGATAATGATGATGTTGGTTATGGTGATAAAGATGATGTTGGTATTGGTGATAATGATGATGTTGTTATTGGTGATAATGATGATGTTGTTATTGGTGATTAAGATGATGTTGTTATTGGTGGATAAGAATGTTTTGGTATTGGTGATAAAGATGATTGTTTTATTTGGTGATAAGATGATGTTGGTTATTGGTGATAATGATGATGACTATAAAGATGTTGATGACAAAATAGATGGTGATGACGACGATAACAACACCAATATAACAGAGCTGATGGAAACCAAAGTCTCAATGATCACCATTCATTGTATCAAGTTACCAGGCAGTATGATCTAATGCGTATGTTGAATGTGTTGCTGCAATGTAATTTCTTTAATGATTTGTAATGGTTTAAAAATAGAATATGACGTCATTCTTCATTTTGTGAAATCAACACACACAGCGTCTACTCATCGATTGGTTGGTTGATGATTGGTTGGAATGACCTTGCAATCGAACCAGGTTCCCACAGATTAGAACCAGACGCCTATAACCATTACGCCATCACGCTGTCCAGTTCGGTTTTTCT